GAGAGCCCTGACGTGAGCAGGGTCCTAGCAACAAGGGAACAAGACATTCTATCAGGAACAGCTCATTGATTATGGGAAATTTGTTTTTCCCCAAGATTAATTTCTACCTCAATAGAAGTTCTGTGTACAAGTTATGCAGCCCCTAGCTGCACTATTGTCTTGCCATCCAAGACGTCACAGCGTCACGGATCATTGAGACCTCCGCTGTAACCAGTGGTGTGGGGAGTTGTTCCTTTCCCACACACCACCTGCTGGCTCTTCAGGCAGCCATTGTGGGCTAACAGGCAGACTGATTTTTCTTATGAAAAGCCAATTGATGAATTTGCAGCTCGCTCCGGGTGGTCTCCGTCACTCAGATAAAATTTTATTTAGGTGTATCTCTAAATATATTGTCTAGTGGACCTGACACTAATGTTCACTAAAAAGGAGATGAATATTTTGATGTCAGATAAAGAGTTCCCCCTAAAGAGCCAAAAAAAAAAAAAAATCTTGGGCTGGGGATTTAGCTCAGTGGTTCCACTGCCTGTTTCACAAGCACGAGGTCCCGAGTTCGATCTCCGCTACCAAAAAAAAATCTCTTCCTAATAATGGGGCAGGACATTTTGAGAAAACTAGGAAAGACTGAGTGAGAATTCTTTTCCTAAATCTGCAGGTTAGAGGGACTTCAAAGTGGCCCTAGGGATGCTGCCAGCATGAGTCACAATACAAGTCTTATTAGAAATGGGGTCCGGGGGATTTGAGTAAGGTAGATTATAAGTTCCAGTATCTAGAAGAAAATTAAAACTTTCATCTGTCATGTGAAGAGTTACCCAGGGCTCCTGTAGAGTGACACTCACTTTGTTGAGAGGGGCTTGAGAGGCCTTGGACACCTGCAGTCATTCAGGACAGCTAAAAAGGAAGCAGGTAACCTCACCTCTCTTGGGAAGAGACAGCAGTCTTGATTTTAGTGTTTTCCCACTTACAGTGGGGACACATCCCAGGGAAAGAAGGGCCTCAATTACTGCAGTCCTTGGGCAAGTGTTCAGGCTCCCAAGGTGGTAGCAGCCAACTGACCTCTTTTTTTTTTTTTTCTCTCTCTTGGGGAGACATGGGGTCTTTTTGAGGAGACAGGATTTTTTTTTTTTAATTTTTTTTTTTTTTTTTTTTTTTTTTTTTGAGACAGGGTCTTACTATGTAGTTCAGGCTCTCCTTGAGCTCACTATATAGCTCAGGCTGGCCTCGAACTTGTGGCGATCCTCCTGCCTCAGTCTCCTGAGTGCTAGGATTACAGGCATGCACCACCACATCTGGCGTCCTAATCTTTTTATAATTGACTGATTTACTCATGTATTTTTTTACCTCATCAATCAATGAATAATCATTTCATCACTTTTTTTTGGTCCTCATTTTCAGTTTCATATTATCTACCAGGGTCCCCCATAGGCACAGTAGCTATACTCTTATTTTTTGTCATTATTTTGAGTATTTACAGTGGTACCTCAGTTCACAAAATTTCTTTCCACAATTTTGGTCACAAAACTAACTGGATGAGAATTGAATCAAACTCAGTGGTTAGGTTCAATTTTGACCTTATGGGGAAATTTGATTTGGTTCTTTTCCAATTCGGTTTGCAATCAGAATCATGGAAAGAATTAAGTGCATGAAACAAGGTACCACTGTACTTTATTGGCCTTAGCCTATGCCGTAGTTCATATATGGGCCTTTTTTTTTTTTGATAGGGGATGAAACAAGCAGAAAACAGTACATGAAGATCTGTCAAAGTTAGGTCATAAGTTATGGTCAAAGTCTGAAACTTGTCTATGAATCCGGGTCCTCTGAGAACTGTCCCAATTTTTGTTTAGTCTGGGACAGATCACTCATGGAAATGAGGTCATGTACTGTTACAACACTCTGTTCCCTCTCTGAAACTTCTTGAAGCAGATACATAGTAACTTTTTAATAGGTGATAAGTGCCACTTCTTGTCACACCAGCTGAGCTGGATTCTGTTGGTAAAGGGGGCATAGCTAGCTTGCTGAGGAGATAGGATGCAGAAAGTGGCCCTGGGATAGGGTGGGAGAGAGGAAGTAACTGAGCTGCATTCTAAGCTCCCAAGAGTTATTTTATAGGGTCTGGTTCCATTTTAACAGGTCCTATTGGCACACGGGCATAACAGATTGTACAAGACCCATGTAAATTTGGGTCTTGATATAGGGTCATTAAAAACCTGAACATACAGGATTTTTGTTCATTTTTTTTCTCCCTTCTATAGGATAAATCAAGCAAGAATATCCTAAAATTTAGGGTCCCATTCAGAGGCCATACCTCCCACTTTTTAATTTGTATTGACCTCGTACTGAGTTCTAAAGGAAGATCATCTCTTTTTTTAATCATCTGTTTTAAAATGGTCCCAATTTTGCAAAATATAACATAAAGGTGACATTTCAAGGATAGAGTTACTTATACTCCAGCAAGGTACACTATGTGCTTTTAGGACTTTCCTTGTGTACTTGGAAAGAAAAAAATGGAAAACAAAACAAAGAGAAAAAGATGGGAGCCTATTTAGGTCCCCAAGGTCAGGGTGTATGAGCCATTCATGTCAAATGGGGCTCCCGCCTTACAGCGCTGGTATCCTAAATCCGGCCAGGCCACATGTGTAACCTGCCCAAACAGGTCATGCTGTGTGTACAGCTTGCTCTGATTTCCAGAGTCAGAACCACCCACGGGGGCAGCTCTCCCTTGTTACCCCAGAGTCGGAACCACCCTCAGTGGACAGCTTGGTCCTGTTTTTCCTCACGGACTACTCCAGGCACCCCTGTCGGTCATGCGGAAATCTGTTGTTCTTGTCCACAAGAAGCGTTCTTGTTTCTGGCGCACAGCTATTCCCGCCTTTATTAACTGAGCAAGAAAATAGGAAAGGACTGGGTTTTACTCAAAAATCTACCCCAGAGGCCTTTATATTTAGGGACCTGTAACACACATGTAGAACTCATAGGTTTTTAAAAGTCCAAGATCTCACGTAGCAGCTACAGGTCACATATGAGGCAAAACACAGAGGGTATCTAACCCCCCAACCCCCGCACTGAGTTTTTGGACATGAAAGCCAGGGTGGGAGAGAAGAAACAAGAAGGGAATTGGGGCTTCCTTAGGGGAGAGAGGAGGGGAAAAAAGTAAACAATGGGATCCTTCTCGGTTTAAGTCCATAGACTACCAGGTCCCGTGGATGGCGTCAGCTAAGGGGTACTTGGGTCTGTTCGGCTTAGGACATTCCCAACCGCTCAGAGAGAGGAGCTGTGGCATCAGTAGGACAGAGCTTCTGCCCTTCAGTTGTGGGGCGAACTGAGAAAGGAAGGAAAAAAAAGCAGTTTAGAGGACATCTCTTGGGCTAAAATGTTTAGGACCCGGAGTCTGATCACTTTCAGAGATCGCCCCCCCCCCGCCCCCGCACCGCCAACATGACCCAAATACCAGTTCTTTCCACTGTGTCTCAGGATTGAAATTTTTAGGACACGCCAGAAAGAGACATGAGTAGGGTTTATTAGGAAGAGACACAGTACAGAGCACATAAGACGGGGATGCAGGCGCTCAGAGAAATGAGATGCATTACAGTTTGGGACTGAATCCATTTCTCCTGTTCTTGAGCGGGTGCAAACCTATGGGAAAAAAATGCCCACTCGTTTCCCTCTCCCTCAGACGGGTCCCAGCCCACTAACAGATGTGAGTTTTGTTTTGTTTGAATAGATGATTTAAATATTCTCTAGATTAACTCAGCTTTTTATATTTTTAATTGGGTCAATTTATGGCCTTTTAATAACGGGTAAAAAAAGTATAAATCTGGCCAAAGACTGTTGACACTGGAACAGTTCTTATCTGAGGGCCAGGCTCCTATACCTTACTTTTTTAATTGAGCTAATTTATGACTTTTTAGTAATGGATTTAATAGAAAAGAGATATAAAGCCAAGGGCCGGAAATGTAGCTTAGTGGTACCGTGCCTACCTGGCAAGTGCAGGGTCCTGAGTTCGATCCTTGGTAACAAAAATAAATAAACTCATGTTGACATGGGGTCGTCTTGGGTGACTTTAGCTAAGTCCTAAAAGTTGCGGGGTTTTTTTGTTTGTTTTTTTTTTTTTTTTTTTACAAAGTATGGTTTTCAGTTGTGATTTCCTTGTCTCTCTTTCACTTGTCTTTTATTTCTCTTATCCTTTCTCAGAGCAAGACCCTGTCTCAAAAGAGGGGTGGGGGTGGGGATGTAGTTCAGTTTGAAGGCCTTAAAAAAAACAAAAGGGAGAGGGGGCTTAGCAATGGCAGCTTGCAGTCCTCTGGAAGTAGAGCCAGGGTGTGAGTAGTAAAGGTTTAAGACAGGGTCAGCTGGCACAGGGAGAGTTGGGAAAGTGCAGGGTAGCCCCACACCCCTGGAGGAGCTCCCTGTTGGGTTGAGAGGTCAGGAGACCCACAGTGAAGCAATGGCCACCACCCAGGAAGTCCCAGATGCTACCAGGTAACCGGGAAGCAAGCCCGGCCTTCACAGCTCACCAAGGGGAGCACTTCCCCAGCTGTTGTTCCCAGAACTGTTCTCAAACCACAGTCAGAGGAACCCTGTGGTCTCTGTGGGGAGGTCCCAGGCTTGAGGGACAGTGAGATGAAAGTTGGTGTCCCCGCTGCACCCCTGAGTGTGGGACCCTCAGCAAATGTGGAGCTCTGAGCTGGGGTGGAGGCCAAATCTGAGAAGGGGAAGCTGCTCAGTCTTCTGAAACCAGCAAATAAAAGGGAAGATGCTCCAGTGCTTATGTCTTGTCTAAATGGCACTGCAGAGAAACCAAGCAGTTGGTGAGGGAAAGATATTTATTTTTAAGTGGCAAATTCCAGCTAATAAATGCAGAAGGAATGATAAATTGGGATATTGTCATAGTCCTCCACAGCCTTAATGAACTGACACATAGGACAGTGACCAGCAGTGGCAGCTAATTCAGCAGGAGAATGTCCTTGTGACAGGAGCAATTGTGACAACAGAGATGAGCAGATGTCATGCACCTCCAGAACATGTGATGGGAAGCTTGAGGTCCTCATGACATGCTCCTGCCCAGAAGATCTAGAGGTAACAACGGGGAAAGCCAGCTGGAGACCTTGATGAGGCGGCAGTAAGCCAAGAGACCCACAGGACAGTGAAGCCTGCTGCTCCGAGGATACACGGCCAGAACACACACAGGGAGGGACTGAAGACACCTTCCAATCAAATACAAAGCGCAGACTTTACAAGGTGTCTGAATAGTCCAAGTCAACTATAAGAAAATTTGGGGGATAGTTGAAAAGGGGAAATTGGATATCAGAGATGATGGGATTATTGGCAAGGATTTTTGTTGTGTTTTTCTTCTGTCTGGTTGTTTGGTCTCATTACGTGGCATAGGCCTGTATTAAATTCAGGAGCTCAAGTGATCTCCAGCCTCCTTAGTAACTGGGACTCTAGCTGGGGTCCCAGTTACCAAAAATTATTGGTAAATTTTTAAGCATGATGATGGTATTAGGGCTACTTTGCCATTTTCATTATTATAATAGCACATACTGTGCAGGTGAGTGGGACTCACTGTGATATTTCCAAGCTGCATATGTGGTGATTGATCATGTCCATCCACTCCTCTAACCCTGCTCCCAGAACCATTCCAGTCCATAGCAATCCTCTTATACTTAAGTTTGTGTTCAGCCCCCACAGACACACATAGAAGACATGATACTTAATTTGTGTCTGGCTTATTTTATGTAACATTTCCGGTTCCATCTAATTTTCTGGAAATGACAGCATTTTATTCTTTATGGCTAAATTGTACTCCATTTTCTTCATCTGTTGTACTAGGGTGAGTCTATATCTTGGCTATTGTGATGTGTGTTGCAATAAATACAGGTTTGCATCTCTCTCCTACCCCAGGATCCTGGTAAATTGCTTAGGCTGGCCTTCACTTTGTAATCCTCCTGCTTCAGCCTCCCAAGTATTTGGGATTCCAGATGTGCCTCAGTATAGCCAACTGTTACTTTTGAAAAATGTCCAGATCATTTGGCAGTTTTGGCTGAATTACATTTTTTAAGTTTTTTGTGTTCTTGATATATTCTGTATATTATCTCTGGGAGAGTATTTTCTCCTGCTCTGCAGGCTATCCCTTCACTCTGTTGATTATTTGTTGTGCAGAATCTTTTAAATTTGGTGTCATCCCATTTGTCAATCATTGCTTTTGTTTCCTGAGCTATCAGGGTCCTATTCAGGAAATTGTTGCCTGTGCCATTATCTTAAAGCATTTCCCATATATATTCTTCCAGTAGTTTCAAAGTTTCAGGTCTTACACTAAGGGATAAGGTTGAATCTTCAAGCATATGCATGTGGAGGTCCAGTTCTCCCAGGAGCAGTTGTTAAAGAGTTGTCCTTTCTCCAGTGTATGCTTTGGGTACCTTTGTTGAATCAGTTGCATTTAGATTCATGGATTTATTTCTGAGTTATCTATTCTGTTCGTTTGGTCTATGTGTCTGTTTTTGTGCAAACAGCATGCTGTGTTTGTTACCATGTTTTTGTAGTATGTCTTGAAATCAGATGCTGCAGTGCCTCCTCTTTTTTAGGGGGGTCGCTTTTTGAGACAGTCTTGCTCTGTAGTTTAGTCTCCCCTTGAACTCACTATGTAGTCCAGGTTGGCCTTGGACTCGATGATCCTCCTGCCTCAGGCTACCAAGTTCTGGGATTACAGGCATGTGCCACCACACCTGGCTGCAGCTTTATTCTTTTTGCTCAAGATTGATCTTTTCTGCTTCCATATGAATTTCAGAAATTTTTTTTCTAGTTTTCTGAAGAATCTCACTGGCATTTTGATTAGAATTGTATTGAATCTGCAGATCACCTTGAGTATATGAACATTTTAAAAATATTCTTCTAATCCATGAACATAGGAGGTCTACCTTTTAGTGTCTTCAGTTGTTCAGTGTTTTGTAACTGTATTTTATTTCCTTTTTATTGGTTTTATACAGTTCAATGGGTTTCAATATGGCAGACTTGTATATACACATAATTATACTTTTTTTTAACCCCTCATAATTCTCCCCCCAGCCTCTCCCTTATTTTTATATTGTTTTTAAGACAGGGTCTCAATATGTATGTAGGCTGGCATTGAACTCACTATGGAGCACAGGATGGCCTTGAACTTGCAGCAGTCCTGCTTCAGCCTCCAGAGTGCTGGGATTACAAGTATCTGCCACCATGGCTGGCTCAGTTTTACATTTTTAGGGAGTCTCAATGCATATATTTTGCTTATATCCCTCATTACCCACTCTTATACCCCCCTCCCCTTCTTTTCTTCCTCTTGTCTAATAGTTATCTTCCCTTCTACTTTCTTGTCGTCTTTTTTAGATTTTGCATATTTGAGAGAACTGCAGTATGTGTCTGAATCTGGCTTATTTCACTCCACATGATGGTTTCCAGATTTATCCATTTTCCTGCAAATGATGGATGATCCATCCATCTTCCTTATGGTTGTATAACACCCCATTGTGTATATATACACTGCAATTTCTTTGCCCATTGATATGTTGATGGGCACCTAAGCTGGTTCCATGTCTTGGCTCTTGTGAATTGTCCCAAACTGAACATGCGCATTGTATCCCTATAGTATCCCTTTAGTTGCTTCAGGTATATACCAAGGAGTGGAACAGCTGGATCCAATGCTAGCTCTGGTTTTGTTTTTTGAGGAATCTCCATACTGATTTGCTTAGTGGCTGTACTAATTTCTATTCTCACCTGCAGTGTAAAAGGCTTCTTTGTCCTTGCATCTTCTCCAGCATTTATTGTTTTCTGGCTTTTTTTTTTTTTTTTGGTATGGGAATCAAACTTGGGGCCTTGTGCTTGCCAGGCAGGTGCTGTGCCACTGAGCTACATTCCTACATTCCCAGCCCCTCTGACTTCTTGATGATAGCCATTCTGTGGTGAGATGGAATCTCAACACAGATTTGATTTGCATTTCTGTAATGCGTTTTTTCATGTACTTACAGCCATTTGTACTTCTTTTAAGAAGTGTCTGTTCAATTCTTTTGCCCATTTTGCACATGATTGGGCTATTTAATTTTTGTGTGTGTGTGTGTTAAGGTTTTTGAGTTATTTGTATATTGAAGATTTTAATCCTCTGTCAGAAGAGTAGATGGGAAAGATTTTCTCATTCTGTAGGCTGTCTCTTCATTCTGTTGTTTCCCTGGATGTGCAGAAATGTTTTAATTTGATGTCATCCCATTTGTGGATTCTTTTTATTTCTTATGCTTATTGGAGTCCTGTTTAGGAAGTCTGTGCCTGTGCTTATGACTTCAAGTGTTTTCCATATATTTTCTTTGAGCAGTTTCAATATTTCAGGTCTTATTCCAAGGTGTTTGATTCATTTTGAATTGATTTTTTTTTTTTTTTGATACTGGGGAGCAAACTTGGGACCTTGTGCTTTCAAGGCAGGTGGCGGAACCACTGAGCTAAATCTCTGGCCCTTGAATTGATTTTTGTACAGAATGAGAGAGAGGAATCTTCTATGAGTGAGTATCAGTTTTCCCAGCTGTTTGTTAAAGAGGCTGTCTTTTCTCCATATATTTTTGGCTCCTTTGTCCAAAATCACATGCCTGTAGCTGTGTAGGTTGTTTCTGTGTCCTCTATTCTATTCCATTGACCTACAGGTCTATTTTTGTGCTACTTTTGTCACTACAGCTTTGTACTAAAATTTGAAATCAGGCATCGTGATGGCTCCAGCTTTGCTCTTTTTGCTTAGGGTTGCTATTCTCAGAGTCTTGTGTTTCCATGAAATTCATAGCCTGGCCAGGAATTTAGCTCAGTGGCGCTGTGCCTGCCTCGCAAGTGGAAGGACCTGAGTTTGATCCCTGGTACAAAAAAAAAAAATTCATAGCCATATGAATTTTAGGGTTACATTTTCTGGTTCTGTGAAGACTGTCATTGGTATTTTGATGGGGATTGTGTGGAATCTGGACAAATTTGGTAATAGGGACATTTTGACAGCATTAATTCTGCCAATCCATGAAATCAGGAGGTCTTCCCATCGTCTTGTGTCTTTAGTTGCTTTCTTCAATGTTGTAAAATTTTCCTTGTACAGGTCTTTTACATCCTTGGTTACATTGATCACTAGGTATTATATTTTATTTGAAGCTATTGTGAATGGAATTGTTTTCCTGATTTCTTTCTCAGCTAGTCTATTA